GGAGCTACTTAAAATTCAGTGCCTGACATAAACATCCTTAAGCATCCTGCTAGTCAACAGTCAGCAGTGCCAGAAATGCGCTTTAACGATATGTCAGAGATTAGGGAGCGTTACAAATGAATGCCAGGACAATTAATTGGGGGCATTAAGCGGAGAATTGGGCGCGGGAAAGAGTTCAGAACGGGTGTGATCTTATGTTTATACACAGAGATATCGCAGCTTTACAGCAAATAAAGCAATCTAAAAACTATTGAATATATATCATAATCGTTATAACATATTTCTTTATAATCTATACAGCTTCTAAGATATAATCTTTAGCCTATTCAGCTAAATATTTCATATTCTTATCTACATAGGTAAGAGACTATTTTTAAAGCTATCTGCTTTAAACTTTCGCAGAGATCCATCGATAAAAGAAAGACTTTGTTATTTAGATAATATGGCGTCAAAGAAAAAATCCTTTCCCAAGGTAGAAAAGTCGTGACGAACGCACCATCAAAATACAGAAAAAATTTCTTTCTTTTTTGTAAAAATCATATTTTTTATTTCACATTTTGGAAAGTCTTCCATATATTTAAACCTATATAATTTCTTGATCACAAAATTTCATATCAGGACTTTTACCTGTTTCTCGGTGTGTTTCGTCACTACATTTTCTGCCGTCCACAATGATAAAATAACAAGTATTTAGTTTCACTGTAATTATTTCTAGAAGGGCTTTCTTCCAGGGCTTCCCACTCCTTTCTCCGAAGTGAATGCAATAATAACCACAATAAAAATCTGTAAAATGAGCATTACATGAGCTGGCTTCATAGTCATATGAATAAAAATAGAATAACCGCCAGCGGCAAATGCGAAACAAAGCAAACAATAATTTCCCTCATATATAAAAAGGACTCGGGGAGTGGGCGAAGGACTCTCTGTGTTTTGGGCCAAGTCAAAACGGATGTACAAATTGCAGGGCATAATTCAAATTGTTTGACTTTTTGACAATGACTGCGCCAGTTTGGCCCAATCCCACTAACATTTTCAATCCCCATTCCCTTAAAAATCTCCGGATAGCCTCTTATCTTGGCATATGTGCCTTGAACTGAAAACTGGCGCCATTCGCCTGCAATATTTTTGTAATGCCGGGCCATATATCTTTAAGTTCTCGAAAATTTAAGGTTCTCTTTCCACAGCCACAATGCGTATGAGTCACATTAATTAGCTAAACTGCCAGAAAGTGCGCTTAAAAAGCAATTAAATGTGATTAGCATAAGTTGCTGCTCATTCGGAACACACCATATAATTTCTAAAAATTGTTAAATACTTTTTGGCTGCGGTGGGCGAACGAAAATCGTTGAATACTTTCATGCGGCTGCCATTTGGTTCGAATAAGTTCTGGCGGTTTTCTGGCCTGGCCTTAAAACCATTCGACTTAATTAGTTGGCCGACGCCAAAAGTCGACGCCCCCTCGACATTACTTTTTCCCTTTTTTGGAGCGAAAAACTATGAATTTATTTGACACTTGAATAAATGCGGTTTTTGCGGCAGCCAAAAACGAGGAAAAATGGTAGGAAATATATATTTTTCAAAATGGATTTGCTAGCAGCCAAAAAACTCAACCCATTTCCCCGGGTGTCGACACACATGGTCATGGTTGATATATAACCCATGTCGTGCTCCGTGTTCCGCAGTTCGATTCACAGCGTTTCCTGATCTCCTTACCCTAAGTCATAGATATATCTATGGGATTGGTATACCCCCTGGCTGGTTTGGGGGGCGTGTGTGTACTTAGCGTTCTGTAAAATGCCATTTCTGTGCCCTGTCTAATTTATGAATGCCTCTTCAAGGCGGTAATTGTGATGTGCGAGTGTGCTGCTGAGTGTAGAGTGCATTTTTGGCGAACAAAGGACAAAAGGACCAACGGGCAATGATGTCATCTGAGGATGAAGTTCAGAAGGTGACTGACTCTGAAGATGCCTGATGGTGAAATAGGCAACCAAAGCATTTTTAGATTTTTCCTAAACTTAAAAATGATATTTTTTTACAATAAATAAGTACTCTACAAGTACACCATTTGATATTTTAATGGTAAATTTATTAATTATAATTTTTCTCTTTATGAAAATACTCTTACATCGCAAAAAAAGGACAAATTTCTCAGTCTCCGAAATATAAAAAAAAGATCATTTCAAAGCGATACGCCCCTTAACTAGATAGATATGATACTGAAGTTCATAAAAATTATCATCATATCTTTAATTTAATATGTGTACGTTTTATAAATACCATTGATTTACATCAGTTATAATTAACTAAGAAATTCCTAATCCTGGCAGATGAGACAATAAAATAGTCGTCTATATATTTCTTTCTCATATAATTGTGTAAGTCCATTAGCGACTTTCACTTGTTCTACTAGGCAAGCTAATCTTTGAACCCCCTTAAAAACCCGACCTTGCACACAAATTTCCAGTGTAATGCACGCAAATAAATGGATGTGCATTTATAATTTGAGCATTTATAGGCCAAAGAGTGTCAAACCATTAGCCAAACCATAATGGATCAAACGAAATGCTCGCAAGTCACAAATATTACGATAGAAATTTTAATCTTTTGGCACATTTTTAACGGCAAGTCGAACACCTTTTGATAGCCGTGGCTTCTATTAATTCATGCCATTTAAATTCATCGCCCTGTCCAAGAAAAAAGTGTGCAATTTGCTCCGTGACCACAGTCCGTTTGAGGGAGTCAACCGAATCGCACACAACGTAGACTCTCTGCTCGACAATTCTATAAGTTAGAAATAGAAACAAGCCAAACGAAAATGTTTTGTGCCTTATCAACGTTCCTAACAGTTATTGGCTTCTATGCCCTGGCCTCTTATCTCTACGAACAGCTAAGAACGCCGTACAAACTGCTAAAACTCAGGTATTTCAGCGATAATAGACCCACTCTCAAGGAGCGTTACGGAGATTGGGCCGCTATTACGGGAGCCAGCGATGGGATAGGCAAGGAATACGCCAAGGAACTGGCCCGCCAGAACATCAATGTAGTCCTGATCGCCAGGAATGAGGAGAAACTGCAGGCGGTTGCCAAGGAAATTGGTAAGTTATCAGGTGGGACAGGAGATTAGGAATTGTTCTGAGATTACCAATCTACGGTTATCAATTGGATTGCATGACTATTACCTATTTATTAATTTTCATAGTCATGAAAAGTTTCAGAAAACAGATCAGATCACCTTATATTATAATATAAAATATTGGAGCTTATCACTAAATTTAAAGATATAAATCCTGTATACCCATTTTATAAGGGGAGCCATGAAGTGGTTATATTGTTATAGATCAACGATTGTGACATTTAATATTTTGGATAATTATAATATAATTGAAGAACACGCAAAGCTCTGGTCCAAATTATAATTTAAAGTCATGCAATGGCTTTTTAATTAGAAGTTTTGAAATCATTTTAAAATTCTCTGCATTCTGACAAACGTAAATCTAAATAAATCTCTATTGAAATATTTATTTTATTTTAGCAGAAAGTGGTTCCAATGTGCAGACAAAGATTGTGATTGCTGATTTTACTAAGGGCTCTCAGGTCTACGAGCATATAGAAAAGGAGACGGCCGATGTGCCCATTTCTATACTTGGTAAGTTTAATTAAAATATAAATATAAATTTATATTATACTCTTTAAAATTTACTTTAATAAATACTTATTTTTAACCTACAGTTAACAACGTTGGAACCGGCAGGCCGTCATCTATTCTGAAATGGAGCCAGGAAGACACCCAGAACATACTCGACACCAATGTGGTGGCCGTTTCCCATTTGTCCCGGGTCTTCTTCCAGCGCATGAAGGCGTCCAAGATCAGGGGAGCTATTGTGAATGTCAGTTCCGGAACGGAACTCCAGCCTCTGCCCTATGGAGCATACTATGCCGCATCTAAGGCGTACACCCGCAGTTTCACCCTGGCTTTGTATCACGAGGCCAGGCCATTTGGAATCCATGTGCAGCTGTTGTCACCCAATTTCGTGGTCACCAAGATCAATTCGTACTCCAGGCAGATCATGAAAGGGGGTCTGTTCATCCCATCGGCATCGGTCTATGCCAAGAGTGCTGTGGATCAGCTGAGGGACGGAGTGGATGAGACTCCGGGTTACCTGTGGCACCATGTCCAGAATGCACTGGCCACCGCATTCACCTGGCGGGCTCGAACTTATGTCGCCACTAGAATGTTCAACAATGTAAAGGATAAGAAGAGGGAGTAGAAAAATCTTTTTTTAAATATTTTAATACAGCTCGAAGATCCAAAAATGTATTTTTAACAGAGACATTTGTATTTACAATTTGTATTTCATTTTCTACAATGTTATTTGTCCATAAACTATAGCACACTTTTCGGCGGGTTTGCAACTCGGAATTGGGTTCGTGACTCTGCTAAATCCAACGAGAAATTATTTATATTATTTTAAGCTTTCGGCTTTGTTATGAATTTGTTTATTTATATGGATAATAACAATAAATATTGTCATTTATTTATGTACATTCTAATTGAAATATTTTATTTGTATATTTTTGAATATTACCAATAGATTTATCTTTGCTATATAACCACACTTTCACTTTAACTAAGCAAGTACTAGCATTAAAACTGCTGAAATGACAACACTACTTGCACTTAGAACATTTGGGGAAAGCTCTCCGACCTCCTCGATAAACTTCCCCCGCCAAGTTCCTCAGTCTGGAATAAATAGTCGGTTAGGGTGGTGGACAACAGCACCTTACTTATAAAGTATTGATTTTATTTATAGCGTTGAGAAACTTAAATAGTATTGCTCGTCGGCAGAATATAAGCTAATATTTCACATTTGTTAGTAAGAGTTATGTATTATCAGGTTGTGGAACGATAAATATATATTAAACAAAGTGTTTACTAACATGTGGAACCTTTTTTTTTCATCTGGAAGTATCAACAAACCAATGAGCAACAAGTGAAAAACTGCATTTGGTTGAAAATGAACAGAAATGATTTAGGTTGTAATAAAAACACCATACATTAAGTTTTAAAATAAAATCACACGCCTAAAATAGTCTACCAACATGCCTTATAATTGTGGGATATATTCACACCTCAGTAGTTTGTGGGATATTTCCTATTGCCATTAGTCTCCATGTCTCTTCATTTATTAATGTTTGCTTAATGGCTCATCACATTAGCTAAACCTTTGCTCAAATTACCAATCATATTTATTTTCAGAATGTTTTTGTTTAACAAAAAGAGTGAAAATAGTATTTAAGATGTTAGATCTGACATATTGTGTCACGAAAATGCAACTGATAAGTTTGTTTCCCTTTATTGTTCGGAAATGCATTTTTGCTTTGCTGATAAGCACAACTTGTGGTATTAAAACTGTAAAAGATAATAAGGCAAAACAATTACACATAAAGGAAGTGAACAAAAAAAATTAATTTAAAAGTATATTAACTTGTAGATCACCATATATTATTTTTTTTAAAATTATACAATTAAATAAAAAAAAATAGAAAACAATAAGAATTAAGTCATATGTGATAATTATTTATAAAATTAATGTTCATTCATCATAACATTTACTACACTTAAAAAATTAAATAAATCATAAAACCCTCCAGCAATGTGCAACAAAATATTATTTTTGTAAAAACTGAACTGCGACATAAAAAAAACTGGGTGAGGAAAAATCTGTACAAATAAACAGTCTAAGTTGACAGGGGTCATTGCATGACAAAAGACAATTTAACACATCTTTCGCTTAATTGTTTGCAATTAGTTATACACCGCTAGTAAGCTAATTAGGTACTTGGAAAAAAAATTGTGGGTTTAAAATTCAAGAGTTTTGTTATAATTATTATTATAAATATAATATAATATTGATATTAAAGTTATTATTATTATTAATGAAGCGACATATGCAGAGTAAAACCGTGGAAAAGAGTAAAAACTGCAGTGACCTTTTCACTGTACATCACAGAATTTTTTTACAAATGTTGCTGATTGGTGCAACTTGTTGCTTTGGGAAAAAAAGTCGGGGGCGACTAAAAATCCGTATAACAGTAGTTCTCAACAAAACAATAAATTTCAGTAGTGATAAAGATAGGTTCCACAACCTCTTCAATGCGCTCTTATCACCGGTCGAAAGTCGCTTTTTTTTTACTATATAAAGAGAACTCTCTTAACCATGCAGCGCAGTTCTGAAAGTGACCATTTAAAATTTTCTAAGGATGGCGTTTATTTCTTCAGTAATCTACTTAGTGGGCTCGCTAACTATAGCCGCTTACCTGTACGACAACTTAAAGTCCTTGTTCAGTATCATCAAAGCAGTCCTGCTACCTTTGTTCCACCCACAATTGCCAAAGACTTTGGTGGAAAAATACGGACAATGGGCCGGTGAGTGTTTCGATTGTAAATCCCATTATACCCCTGAATTTCGCACTTAACACCCTATAAGTTTTTCATGTTTTTAAATCTGTCAATATTTGCGGATGGCTCACAAATGCAAATTATTTACCTTATTTCTAGAGGGAGTGTTATTCTATACGGAAAACACTCAGCATTTATAATTGATTATTATAGTAATTGCTTGGTAATTCTTTAATAACCCAATATCCTAATCGATTTCAGTAATATATTGTTTTTTAATATATTGTTTCTTATACATTAATGTAAAGATTTATACAATAGTTGTACTAGGTTTACGTTGTAATTTACAATGTTTTTGTAAGTGCGCTTTTAATTAAATTTAAATTAAATATCTGTTGTCAGCATGAGAAGCTATTTCTTTGGATTTGCTTATCAGTAAACTCTTTGATATCCCAGGGTAATAGTTTTTATAAAATCATCATGATTAGCAACATTTGTAAGTACTTCCAATGCCTAAGGATTAAATTGACTGCTGTTTACATATTTATGGATATACTCAGTAATATATGTTTTCGATACGATAGCAAATATACCAATCATTTTGATTTTCCCATAAGACATATGTAGTCAGGCTGACTAGCAATTTAGAACATTCTTATCAGTAGGAACTACCCAGGGTAATTGTATAAAATAGTTACGGTAGTGGAAACACAAAGTCACCATGAGGAACAACATTTGTAAATATTATAAGTACTTAATGGAATATTATACAATTCATTAAAACGTCTATATTTACATATTTTGAAATTACTGAAATTATATTTATTAATATCTTTATTTTTTTTTATTTGGATTGCCAAAAACAATTACTAAATTATTAAAACAACTTGATTTGTTTACATATTCGTTTATGAACCAGACAAAGTCATTCAACCCGTAAACCGGGTTTCGACTTATTCGTTCGTTTTGTTTTTGCTTTATTATTTAAATATTTCGCTTTCATTGACTGAAATCTCGTGCTGCAATTCGTGGTCCAACGGTTTTGATTTCACTGTCGCTTTTCTAGTTTAATTAATGGGTGACCTTCACTAGTAAGCAGTGATCGACTTCTGCATAGTTTTCCTAATTGAATTAAAAACTTTATTAAACAGTTTTTATTAATAACCGATCAAAGTGCTAAGTCTCGGCAAAATATACGTCATTCGTAATTATCACACCACACTCATGGGCAAAAAACGAGTGGTGTTGCTATTGCCAATATATGATTTTGTTGATTTCTCGTTTCCGTTGCACAAATATGTGGCAACCAATAACCAGATGCCATTGGCAGCATTGCTGCAATTGATTCTGAGTGCTTCTTTGGGGCCATCCATTCATGATATTTACCGAGGTTTCGGCTACCAACAAACGATGTGATTAAAATGAACCCAGTCGAATGCAGTGGGTTAATTAGCAAGCAAATGTTAAGTTCGAAAAGGTAGGTTTGAGTTGACTTTATTCAGTTACTAAAATTATGGGTAAACGAAAGAAAGTGACGAAATAGGTCTTGAAAGAGACAAACTGGTACAAAAATGGGACAAATATTTTTGAGAAAAATACTTTTACCGTTCGCAGTAACTTTTATGAACACTTCCGATTCTGGGAAAAATAAAATTATTTTGAAATTAAGTTATTAAAAAGATTTTGTTTTAACTAAGTTATAAAATTTGGATTCGATAGGATTTTTTAGTTGTGTTCAATTTTATACAATTAAAATTTGTGGTAGATTTTGACATATTTTCATGTTCCACTCCTTTTAGCAACCCTTCCTTATACAGTACTTACAAGTTTTTATTTAATCCCTTCACTTTAGTGGTAACTGGTGCCACCGATGGCATTGGAAAGGAATATGCCAGAGAGCTGGCTCGTCAGGGTCTCAACCTGGTACTCATCTCGAGGACGAAGGAGAAGCTGATTGCCGTCACCAATGAGATTGGTAAGCACTGTTTATCCACTTTTATATTATAAACTTACTTTCAAAATGCATTTTCAGAGAGCCAGTACAAAGTGAAGATCAAGTGGATTGTTGCAGATTTCGCCAAGGGACGCGAGGTGTACGAACACATTGAAAAGGAACTGGCGGGAATTGAGGTTTCGATTTTGGGTAAGTAATGATTAAACAGATGAATGGTATTATTTTGTAAAATATAGATAATATTTATATTATAAACATTTTTCATAAAATAAAACCGTGCCTAAAAAGTGTATTACCAAATTCAAATGATATTCGTGTGCGTCTGCTGATGTTTATACATATTAACCAATCTTTAATGTACAAATTCACACATTCATCATTGTCAATAGCCAACGGCAATCAACAGTAGCCGTTTTTTATTTACCTATAAGTAAACACATATATGTGTCTTATATTTTTGTGACTCTTTCTTGTGCGTCTGCCAATGTCAAACAATAATAATAATTGCGTGCAATTATAATGACTCCGGTTTTTGGTCTATTGGCGAGGCGAAGAGTGGCTAAAGTACATAGGCGATGCGCTGTTGTTGGGGTTTTATTTTTATTCGGCCAACCAAACTCATAAACGCTTCAGCAATTTGAATTTCAACAGACTTGCGAATGCCTCAAGGCATTTCTGTTATAAAGTTTTGGCCGATAAGAGTTGACATTGATCTTGGCCAGCCAAGTCTATTCGCCACTTTGACTTTAATATGAGGCGGGAATTTTTAATAAATAAAATATATAGAATATTTTGTATAATAATGAAAACCTTTTATCTATACAGTTAACAACGTGGGCATGATCCACGAACCCGAGACCCTGGATCGGGTGTCGGAGGATCTGCTGTGGGACCTGCTCACCGTCAACATGGCATCCGTTACCATGCTCACCCGCAAGATCCTGCCCCAGATGATTGGTCGTCGAAAGGGGGCCATTGTGAACCTGGGATCCTCCTCGGAACTGCAGCCCCTGCCCAACCTGACCGTCTATGCCGCCAGCAAGAAGTTCATGACCTTCTTCTCCAAGGCTTTGGAGGCGGAGGTGGCCGAGCACAATATCCACGTGCAGCTGGTGATGCCCGGCTTTGTGCGCACCAATATGACTGCCTATGCCGACCATGTGCTGCACGGAGGACTGCTTTTCCCCAACGCCTATACCTATGCCCGATCCGCCGTCTTTACACTGGGAAAAACGAGCGAGACGAACGGGTTCTGGACACATGCGGTTCAGGTGTGTATTCACAAATTAGAAAGGACGCCAAAAACTGAGCAAGTTAAATCTATATACATTTTCCTTGGTAACCTCAATAATGTTATTGTTGGTTTTTTTGGACATTTATTTGTTATTTCATATGTAGTGTTGTTACCAAGGAAATTGTTTTGTCTTTTTAATAAGAGTTTTTTAACCAAATTTTTTTTTCACTGATACATTTTTTTATATACCCCTTCACAACCAAATTCTGTATCCGCCACTGGATAAAAGCCAAATTTTCTTCGTTTTCTATGTTTAAATAAATAAATCCGTCGAGTTAAGGGAAATATATTTGTTTTAATATATACATATTCATTTTTTGTAACTGATTAAAATATAAAATAATTTTTTTTACAGTACGCCCTCATGAAGTTGGCCCCCGAACCGGTACGCACATTCTTCGCCCATAGGCTTTTCAACCGACTGAGACTCGTGAGCCTTGAGGGAAAGCAAAAGAAACTGAACCTATTGTAACTTGTTAACTCCCATGTTATGTAAATAAGGCTTAAACTTTAAACTAGAAAAATAAATTTTTATGTAAAAAGCCATAAAAAATAAAAATTTTAAGCAATAAAAAAATATACGACTAAAACAATTGGCTGCCAAAATGCACTAAACACTGCCAATTTGCATAACTGTTGCAATTTGGCTAAGGGGGTGTGATAGATGAGATCTTAGACGGTTTTAGCCATGAAACCTGCGCAAAAATGCTGACCAACAACAATGTAATTTTTAAAATATTTAATATTTATATTATTATTTAAAAATATTTTTTTTCAAAGAAATAAAACAGTTAAGACATATTAAAAACAAAAACCTCACAATTTGCAATACCTTCATAAATAAATAATAAAACAAAAAAAAACCCCAAAATTTATTGTACTTTAATAAATTAAATAAATCACGAAACCCTCTAGTAAGGTGTCATAATGTAATACAGCAATTATTTTTTAAATCATCACTTTTCATTTCGGGATGAGGAAAAATCTGTAAAAACATACTGTCTCATATGACAGAGGTCATTGCATGACAAAAAACAATTTAGCGCATCTTTCGCTTAATTGTTTGCAATTAGTTATACACCGCTAGTAAGCTGATTATGTACTAGGCAAATAAGCTCATGGGTGAAAAATCCAAGAGTCCCAGTGAAAGAGTCATATCTCTGGCGGCAATTAAATGTCAAATAATTCACCCAGACCCAGACACGTAGTTTTTCAACATCTTTAGGCCGCAGTAAAAGGCAACAAAATTTAATTTACAATTTTATGAAATAATGAACCGACAAAAGCCGAGTAAAACCGCGGAAAAGAGCCCCAACTGCAGTGGCCTTTCCGCTTTAAGTCGCTGTATTTTTTTTTTACAACTGTAGCTTGTTGAAGACCCGATCCGAAACTGAAAATCCGAAAACCGAGAGCCCAAAAAAAAAAACAAAACCGAAGCCGCGGTTCCAAGTGTTCAGTTTCAGTGCGTGATCGGCGCTCAGACTTGCAACTTGTTGCTCCGGGAAAATAAAAGACGGACAGATAGTGCGATAGTACGAAAGTCGGGCGATTATAAATCGGTATAATAGTAGTGTTCTCAACACAACAATAAATAATCAACACGCTCGTGTAGTGATAAGGATAGGTTCCACAGCCTGTTCCGTTCGCCTTGTTTCCTACTATATAAAGAAAAATTTCCTAACCATGCAGCCAGTTCTGGAAGTGAGCATTTACACGCTGCTCAGGATGGCGTTTATTTGGCAGCTGATCTCGGCGGCTATCTATCTAGTGGGATTGCTCTGTATAGCCACGTTCCTGTACGACAACCTTAAGTCCCTGATAAGCATCATCAAGGCCGTTCTGGAACCCTACTTCCAGCCTCAGTTGCCAAAGACCTTGGTGGAAAAATATGGACAATGGGCAGGTGAGTGTTTTGTTCGGCAGATCCAACCCATTTTACCCCTGGATTTCGCACTATGCACAGTGTATGTTTTCCTTGTTATTCAATCAGATATTTGCATACTCTAACCCCAGGGGTCTGTCAATATTTAAAGTTGCGTTTTTGGTTGCTTCACTGTCACAAATGCAAATGTTTTCCGTATTTCTGGAGGGAGTGTTTTGCTATACGAATCCCTAACTTTTAGAATTAGCAATCATTAGCTCAACTCAATTATATCACAATTTTATTAAAATAAGCTAATAGTTTTATAAATGTCTGTAAAAACACAGTCCTCTCTGATTTACTAAGAATTTATTTAATAAGAATATCATGAGCCTAATTATATTATTAAAATACTCAATTTGATTATTAGAGTATTTTATAAGATTTGCATTCTTTTTCTGATAAATGAATGTAATGATTTATAAATTATTGGTAGCACTTGAACTTCGAGTAAAAATGTAGATAAGAATTTTTATGGTCGTATAAATCTTTGATCAATATATGCTGTTTCCCCGTCTAGCACGTTTGATGGAAGAGGTTACGAAATCTAAATATGATAAGATAAGAAAACATTAATCACTATGAACTTTCATAATAATTTCGATTGTGCGAACGAATATCCCAGAGTTTGTTATCATAATGTTAGATAATATCGCAGGCCTTAATAATACAATTTTCTTTATGAAGTCAAGATCAGTTAAATGTTATATCCTTAGTAATTAATTAATATTTATTGGAACATTTGCAAAGAATTTTTTTTCCATCAGTAAAGTGAGTCAGAAGGATAAGCCAAACAAATACCAAATTATTCAAACCACTTCACTTGTTTATATTTTTATTTATGGACCATACAAAGTCATTCAACCCGTAAACCGGCTTGCGATTTTCTCGTTTTGTTTTTGCTTTATGATTTAATTATTTCGCTTTCATTGACTCGAATCTCGTGCTGCTATTCGTGGTCTAGCGGTTGTGAATTTCACATTTATTGTTAATTGTATAACTAATAGATGACCTTCAAGGGTGATCAGTGATCGAATTCTGCATAGTTTTCCTAATTGAGTTATTGATTCTTCAAACAATTTTAATTGTTCACCAATCGAAGTGCAAAATCTGGTCAAAATATACGTTATTTGTAATTATTGGAGTACACGCAAAAGCAAAAATCGAGTGGTGTTGCCGTTGTACTCTTAAATGTTGCTGTTGCCGGTGTTGATATTGCTGCCGTGTTTTCTCGTTTCCGTTGCACAAACATTTGGCAACCAATAACCATATGCCAGTGGCAACATTGCTGCAATTGCCACGCCAGCCGGTTTGCTTCTGAGTGCTTCTTTGCGGCCAAATCCATTCATGATGTTTGCCGAGGTTTCGACAGCCGACAAGAGACCACTAGCAATGTGATTAAAATAGACCCAGTCGAATACAGTGGGTTAATTAGCGGGCAAATGCTAGGTTTGAAAAGGTCTTTCAAGGAGGTCTCGTCTTTATTCAGTTGCTTAAACTATATGTAAACGAAAGAAATTGACGAAACTGCTCTTGAAAAGTAAATAATAGGTAAGCCTAAATCTAAATAATAGAGTTACGTAAAATGGTATTTCGAAATACTTTGAAATTCTTTTACTCTTATCGTTTTTTATATACCTACAAAATACATATTCTGAGCTATATAAACTAAATGGTTACAATTCAATTTTAATAAATAAATATGTTTTTGTGATGAAAAGATGTTTACAAAACTAAAAGTGACAAAAGTTCGTATAATTCTAGCTGCAAGGGATCTTTTAAAATTAAATACAAAGTTCTGTACCATTTTTATAAATATAGGAAGTAGACTTTTATGTTTTCATGTGCCCTCAGTATTGTAAGAATGTGGTTTCCACTCCTTGTGGCAACCTTCGCCAGTACTGTACTCATCAAGTTTTTATTTAATCCCTTCACTTTAGTGGTGACTGGTGCCACCGATGGCATTGGAAAGGAATATGCCAGGGAGCTGGCTCGTCAGGGTCTCAACCTGGTACTCATCTCGAGGACGAAGGAGAAGCTGATTGCCGTCACCAATGAGATTGGTAAGCACACATAGTGGTATACCTACATATTGTATTTACTTATTTTCGAAATGCATTTCCAGAGAGCCAGTACAAAGTAAAGACCAAGTGGATAGCTGTAGATTTTGCCAAAGGTCGCGAGGTGTATGATCAAATCGAGAAAGAACTGGCTGGAATAGACGTTGGCATTTTGGGTAAGTAATGGTAAAGCATATAATTTATGTTGTCTTTAATATATAATAATAATACTTTTTTTGTTGAACAAAAAGATTGTTTTTAAAATTAAAGTTCTTAATTTTATCGTAAAAGATATTCAATCTTTTTATAGATCTTATAAAAGATATGGTTTAATTTTTCGCCAATAACAGTCATTATTCTAAATTTTAAAACATTTTACTAAGCGACATTTACTGTACAAATTCATGCATTCATCATTGTCAATAGCAAATGGCAATTAACAGTAGCCGCTTTTTATTTACCTTTAGGTAAAGGCATATGTGGGTTATATTTTTGTGACTCTTTTTTTGTGTGACTGCCAATGTCAAACAATAGTAATAATTGCGTGCCATTATAATGCCTCTGTTTTTTGGTCTATTGGCGAGGTAAAGAGTGGCTTAGGCGATGTTTAAGTACACGGGGTATTTACTTATATTCGGCCCACCAGACTTATAAACGCTTCAGCAATTTACATTTTGATAACCTTGCGAAGGCCTCAAGGTGTTTTTTATAAAATTGTGGCCGATAAGAGTTGACATTGATCTTGGCCAGCTTCGTTTAGTTGCCACTGTGAGTTTGATTTGAGATGGTTTAAAATATATTATTATTATAATTGTTGATGTAAAATGGTTTAGGGCTCTAGGTCAGTAGTTTGTTATATGTAAAATATATCTATATTAAATAACTATTTTCTAAAAACGTCTAAAAATAATAAAATGACATAAATTCTTACAGTTAACAATGTGGGCATGATGTACGAGCATCCCGAAACACTTGACCTGGTCTCGGAGGATCTGCTGTGGGACATGCTTACTGTCAACATGGGATCGGTTACCATGCTCACCCGCAAGATCCTGCCCAAGATGATTGGTCGCCGAAGGGGTGCCATTGTGAACCTGGGATCCTCCTCGGAACTCCAGCCCCTGCCCAACATGACCGTCTATGCGGCCAGCAAGAAGTTTATCACCTACTTTTCTAAGGGCCTGGAACTGGAGCTGGCCGAGCACAATATCCATGTGCAGTTGTTGATGCCCAACTTTGTGGTGACCAAAATGAATGCCTATGCCGATAGGGTGATGCAGGGAGGTCTACTTTTCCCCAATGCCTATACATATGCCCGCTCCGCCGTGTTTACACTGGGAAAAACAAGCGAGACGAATGGTTTCTGGACTCATGGAATTCAGGTGTGTACTTCTATAGATTTAAAATACTTAAAAATACATACCTCTAGCTATTAAAGTGGATAGTTTATCCTAGTTTAGGATAAATTTCCATAGTTTAAGAGCTCTTAAGAGTATTACTCATACGTAGTGTTGTCCCTAAGAAAATTTCCTATTTGTAGGGATTATATAAGAAAGTTGGAGATTTTTA